TAATCCTTAAATTTACTTAAGAGTGAGTGAGTATGGTTTTTACGCCGTTTTAGCAATATTCCAGCAATATCACAGCGGGGGACACCATAAATGGGCTTCACACATTGTGCCCATGTGGGGAATCGAACCCGGTCTTCGGCGTGACGAGCGAACGCTTTAACCACTAGGCTACCCACCGCCCCTCCAACTCTTAGAGGCAGATACTTTAACTAGCAGAAGAGTGAAAGGTAAATAGGGAAAAATTAAGAATAAAAAGGACATAAGATCATTGAAAACATCCTCAAATATAACATATTTGCATTTGACCACTTTCTAAAAGACATTGTGTGTTCATCCTTATAATGAGCTGATAATCTCATGATGAGAGACCTACTTTAGCCCTATGTAATACATTCTATAAATACCTACGTACCATATCGAATCACGTCGGGCGAGGACGAACTAATGCCATGAGTAATTACAATCATGTCAAGACAATATGGCATCAGTGTACATCAGAACACCAAGTTTCTTTCTTGGAGTTAATCAATAATGCCCGAAGATCTTTAACACACAGGACCCTAATCAAACACAAGATCATATCAAATGAAACACAAGATTTATGTTGAACATGCAACAGTGTTGTGCTAAGATAAAGGCAAAAATACAAAGATACATGGTATCTGTTACTTTGATGGTTATGTGAGCAATGATCAGAGAAAATACCCAGGTGGATGAATGAGAGGGGTAAACTGTTTGAAGCAGTCGTAAAAGGTTCAAAGCCTTAGATAGTCATCTGCAGTAGCAGCTGGTTATTGATCGTGATGAAGATGTGCAGATGGCAAGGAACACATAGCAACCTTCAGCGCCGGTCAGGTCGTCACAAGGACAGCAGTGACATACCGCTGAACTCTCTTGACCAATGCAGGGCTGTTGACCAGAGAGGAGGCCCGACAAAAACAAACACACAGATTTGAACCTTGACATGGGTTTCCGTTGTATCCTATATATAGCTAGAATAATGACAAAAGTGGCATACTTGTGACAATAACATTTTTAGCATTCAGCATTTATTTGTGATAAACAAGTGCAGAAGTAACAGATGTATCATTTACCCGAAATATAAATATATTTTCATGATTCTAATGAGAGAGTGAGTGATTTGGGTTTAACACTGCTTAGAACAGTATTCAAGTTATATCCTGGCTTGTCAGCTGAATGTGGGAGGAGAGGCCAGGGTGCTGCAGGTCTCAGTGAGTGAGTGATTTGGGTTTAACATTGCTTAGAACGGTATTCAAGTTGTTATGTTGATATCCTGGCTTGTCAGCTGAATGTGGGAGGAGGCCAGGGTGCTGCTGAGGTCAGTAAAGTTATATCCTTGGCAGTGAGTGAGTTTTGTTTTGACTTTCAACCATGAATGGGGAGGGAGCCACAGACAGAGGTATGGTTATTGGCAGCTGTCAAATTAATCCAACTTCAGTGGTATAACCCACAGACAGAGGTATGGTTATGCTTAAAATTTGTCTATTTTCCTACCATGGTAAACCCACAGACAGAGGTATGGTTATCTTAAAATATGTCTATTTTCTACCATGGGGCTGTTTTGCCAGCACAAACTGACAGAATACTCAGTATATNTCTGTCTGGCTGTTGTCAGAACCAAATTCTGTGCGTGTATATACTAGTATCCTTACAACTAATATTTACTGGACAAAATAAAATAAGCATTTCAATTCACTGCAAATGTGGAAATAATTGGCACCTGGACAAGTGAAAGTGCCATAGCAGTTTTATAACCCAGCTTTTTTAAGACAAACATGTAAAGGGACATATATTAGAGCAGCTTTTGCATGTCAGTACATGATGAAATAAGTTAGACCTCACATCCAGTTTCCATAATTACATATTGTGTCCAAGATTAATCAGACACCTTCACTAACCTGCCACATCTCGTCAAGCTAAGCTAACACTAAGTAGGGGCAGTGGGGTGGTCTAGTGGTTGAGGCATTCGCCCGTCACGCTGAAGACCGGGTTCGATTCACCACATGGGCTCAATGTGCGAAGCCCATTTCTGGTGTAGCCCGCCACGATATTCCTGGAATATTGCTTAAACAGCGTAAAACTAAACTCAGTCACTAACACTGAGCAGTCCAACCTTATAAATCCAACTTCTCCAACTACTGTTGTATAAAGACATTACTCCGTCAATCCTTGTCAACTACAGCACCACCAGCATCTACAGTATTAAAGAAATGACTGACATGGAGTTAACTTTTCATCAAGCAGATTCTTATCTAAAAAATATAACATGTACAAAAGTAGCTTCTATCTCTAGTTGTCTCATCAACAGAATGTCACAAAACTTTCCAAATGTAATTGCTTGACAACGATACAATAATCTATACTGAAACTTCATATCAAAACAAAACAAAGAAGTTGTGAAAGCAAGAACTTAAGGATGTCAACTTCTTTGTTTTCATGGACATGACGTTTCGGAGTGTATTCTTACTCCTTCATGAGGTGAATGAACGACTAAGAAACAGACAGCTATATACTAGTATGTACATGTGACACAACAACAGTGATAAGATAACAAGGGAAGCCAGTAGTTAATTAGCACTAAATTTACATGTTCATATATAGCTGTCTGATTCCTATTCTTTCATTCACCTGACGAAGGAGTCAGATAATAATCTGAAACGTGGTGTCCATCAAAATATAGAAGTTGACATCCATAAATTCTTGCCTTTATATGTATCAATTCTAAATGCTGTTCAAACACTCTAAAGGAGTTGTGATGTATAAGCCTCTGTGTAACTGTAGATATTATCGTCCTAGTGTCAACCAATGGCAAGCCTAAACCCCTGTCTATTGTCAAGAAAATTGAACATAAAGTGTGAAATGACAACATAACAATAACAGAGGCACTCATGAAATATTCACTCACGTCAGAAGGTCTTACATAAAGCGTACTCCTTTCTGACTCTTGCATTTCTTTGCTAATGCTTAAAAAACTAGGCTAGCCATTGCACTATACATCCAACAGAAGCATTTCCCATGAAACATCTCAAGATGATTTAATCCCTACCAAACATCACATTCCAGCACAGATGAAGACAAATCATGTCCTGGTAACTATGGTAACGACAACAATATTTCAGTATTTTAAATATTTTAACTGTTACCGTAGTGATATATCAATTCAAGATCAAAAAAGGCCACAAGATTTTTTTCCCAAATAAAGCCAAAGATTTTAGCTTGCATACTTCCCCACACAGTATTCACCTCAATTATTCAAATACATTCTTCCAGAGAGACATCCCAAGTCTGGTAATGAAGGCAGATGCTGAGAACTTAGCAGAGATCAGGGTTCCACTGTCATGTTTGAAACCCATACACCATGTTTTCACTGTCTCATATACAATCTATTACTGTCAGCATCTTCTAGCACAAACACATAGCAGACTTACGGTCAACACGCCACCAACATGGTATGGTTATTTCAGACAGAAGTCCACAGTCCAAAGAGCAATATGGTAAAGAACCCCATTCTTTGTGAGATGAAGCTGAGCCAGTTTATTACTTTGGATTTCACACCCACTGAAACATGCCTAGGCTGAGTGACATGATCACATGAAACTTATCACATCACAGCGTCAGAATATAGCTCCCATGATGCTCCTATAGCTGTAAAGTGTAGAAACATTTCCATTTTGTAAAGAGATGGTTTCCTCAAAATATTTTGGAATTTTTATTTGACCAATGATAGTCAAAACAAACAACAAAGTCACAGACAAAGCATATGATGTGTCCAAAAGGTGTCTAACTCATCTATATCACGGTGTCACAGACACCTGGATTGTATCATGGCCACCTGGATTGTGTCACATTCACCTGGATTGTCCTGCGATCCAGTTTGTGTCACAGCTACCACCATTGTTTCACAGTCACGATTAATATTTCATGAAAACATGACAGTCAGACAATGAGTTTTGGTAAAACATTATTCAAAAAAGATATTAGATACAAAATAAACGACCATCTTAATAAAAACAGCCACAAACCTCTGTAGCCCACCACAATGGTTCTAGACTATCAAGAAATCGCCAAACTCACACGACTGATATTGCGACCAAATCACCGAGGTCAAATGCCAAAGCTGTGTGGACTACACAATGACTAAACATGTCATATGAAGATACAAGCTACTTGTCATTGACTTACTATGGAGAGTTGCAGATTCATGGACTGACAGCACAAACAACAAACATTTCTATTGCTACAAACATCACCAGTCATTATCACAAACATATTCTCATATATGACGGTTATAATGATATCACTGCTGAATGCTGGTCCCTATTACCAACATATTCCCACATACAATGGTTATAATGATATCACTGCTGAATGCTGGTCCCTATTACCAACATATTCCTATATACAATAGTTATAATGATATCGCTGCTGAATGCTGGTCCCTATTACCAACATATTCCCACATACAATGGTTATAATGATATCACTGCTGAATGCTGGTCCCTATTACCAACATATTCCTATATACAATAGTTATAATGATATCACTACTGAATGCTGGTCCCTATTACCAACATATTCCCATATACAATAGTTATAATGATATCACTGCTGAATGCTGGTCCCTATTACCAACATATTCCCACATACAATGGTTATAATGATATCACTGCTGAATGCTGGTCCCTATTACCAACATATTCCCATATACAATGGTTATAATGATATCGCTGCTGAATGCTGGTCCCTATTACCAACACATCCCCACATACAATAGTTATAATGATATCGGTTATAATGATATCGCTGCTGAATGCTGGTCCCTATTACCAACATATTCCCATAAACAATAGTTATAATGATATCGCTGCTGAATGCTGGTCCCTATTACTAACATATTCCCATATACAATAGTTACAATGCTATATTGCTGGACTGGACTCAAGTACACATTTACAAACACTATTTCCAAGCAAACTTACAGAATCAAAGCAGCTTCGTGCCGCAGTCTCGTTGTAGCCAAATGATGGACCCTCGAAGACAGCGGTAGGCAACATGAGCAGATCGGCCAGGTAGTCCTCAAATCTTGCCCACACCAAATACCCACTGGTGTCAGAGATTTGCGTAAAAATGTCTGAAAAGAATAACAGATTCAACATGGAAATTGAGAAAAGAACTGTTTTGCTGTGAAATTGTTCATTCAAACTCCACTTTCTCAGTTTTTGCTCTTTCATTTACTTAATTTTGCTGTGAAACTGTTAATTCAAAGTCCACATTCAAAGTCTTGCTATTACATTTACCTGACACTGAGTTTTACTATGAACCAGTGTTCATTCCAACTCTACTCAACCATCAAAGCAATATAATTATCCGGTGTGACAAGATCTGGAGTATATCAGTATATTGCTGGCTCACTAAAGACATTATTGGTGTACGGATGAGGAAGCTGAGCTAGCAAGGTTCCACTGTCCTCAAAAACATGGAACTGTAGCGTGACCACAGAAACATAACTCACTGAATCAATACTTCAGACAGAACGTAATCAATCTGCATAACACAAGAACACATCTTACAACATTCACATATGGAATACGTTTCGCCTTACATGATAGTCAGGACATATCGAAACAATTCAAGGAGAAAAATCTATTAGGCTTTTGTTCAATGTAAGTCTGAATCAAGTCTGAAAAGACATATTCCCAAACATAACTCAGCTACCATATTTGAACTTATAACTACATCCAGTGACTGACCAAAGTAGTGGACATATACTTACACCTTAACTTGTCCATGAACTTGCCGGCACACATATGGGACAGTGCGACCTTGATGGTGAATGCTCGGATCTTTCCGGTGTTTTCTCTGGAAAACAACATAACAAATTACCCAGTTATAGGCAATTGGTGCCCAGCATTTTGAATATGGAACTCTCTGCAATGCTGACATGATAAATGTTTCGGATATTTCATGCACAAAGGGCAAATTATCCCCAATTTCAGGTTCTCATAAAAAACAGCTTCACATCCATATTTTCTAATCAATTTTTAATTCATTTATGACGTTCCAACTACTACCATCACAGAATACACTTCTGATAGGGAATAATGTCTGGGGAGGTTTGCAGACTAACTTGGACATATTGTTATACATGGTTCCTAACATGGAACTGATTCATGTTTTGGCTCTATTTCAAGATAAATATGAATTTTTATCCAACTTTTTCTCATAGATTTGTGTATTGCTTCAGTTACAACATGCCCTTTTGTAAGACATGGAGAATAACATTTATAAAAGCCCAACATAAAACCCACCTCAATTATGTTTCATCATCTTGTCATGTGCAAATTTGTTTGCTGTACATTCTGTTGTAGAAGTTGTAACCTGGCAAGTGAATTTCTTAATCTGTTTTTATATTTAGCCATCTACACTGTACCTTGGAAAATATAATTGTAAGTCAACTAATATAAAATCAAAAGGCCTTACAACAGACAAGACAACACTTTGGTGTTTACCAAGGAGACTTACCTACAACTTACTGGTTAACAACAAATGACACCCTGCAATCTAATGATTACCTCTCTAAATATACCAACACAAAATGATGTCATTTTCAGTTCTGGTACATAGTCAAACTGCCTCTTTTTGTAAATGGGGGTGGTGGGGTAGCCTAGTGGTTAAAGCGTTGGCTCGTCACGCCGAAGAACCGAGTTCAAATCCCCACATGGGCACAATGTGTGAAGCCCATTTCTGGCGTCCCCCGCTGTGATGTTGCTGGAATATTGCTAAAAGCGGCGTAAAACCAAAACTCAGTCAGTCAGTCTTTTTTCGTAAATTATAACAATAGAGCAATTTATTTTATATTTTGCATCAGACAGAACCATTGTTGACAAGATGAGCCATAGAGACTTCCAAGTTCCTAACAGACAGTGGATGAATACATCTCCAACAGTGTGTTCCTTTTTTAAGGGGAACAGCATGTTTTGAACTTGTGTAGGAAACTGAGAAATATGCCAAATCCTGAAAAACTTGACTTTCTCAAATAAAAATATCTATGCTTTGAATGTTTATCACTTAGATTAAATCTGGTGTGGAGATAATAGTAGAGTATTTACCCTTAAAAATATTCAAATACTATTTCAATATATTTTCTTCAATTTTCCAAAAACAAAGGGAACATTAGATTTCACTTATCACCAAACTATCATAATCTGATCTTTGATGTGTGACATTATTATCTCACAATTATCATCCATTATTCTGTATGCAGTCAATCTTCCGAGTCTTCATCCATATTATCCCAGACACAAGCCCGTCTGGCTGTATAATGGCTGCCATTACCTTCAGCTATACTTCACTCAGCTGCAGCAATGGACATTTAAGTGACCAAGGCCATACCGGGTCAGTTCATCAATACCACAACAGACTTGGCCAAGACAGGCCCAGTGGGACCGGTCCCATCACGGAAGTGGTGTATATGTAATTAGTTACAGACCCAGGGGCCAGGGACACAACGCTGAGAGCCAGTCTGTGTCTGAAGGGTGTCCACTCTCACCACACAGCATACATTTCCATGTCTGCCTGAGTCAGTGAGTGAATGCTGTTTAATGCTGCATACAGCAATGTTCAACTGACTGACTGACTGAGTTTGGTTTTACGCCGCTTTTAGCAATATTCCAGCAATATCACGGCGGGGGACACCAGAAATGGGCTTAACACATTGCACCCATGTCTTGAACCGGGTCTTCGGCATGGCGAGCCATCGCTTTAACCACTAGGCTGCCCCACCGCCCCCCAGCAATGTTCAATCTTTGTTATGCACATTGTAGATTACTGAGTCTTGGCCTGGCAAACCATTGGCTGACAGTATGAGCAAGCCACATTGGTGGGCTTTAAAAATGAAACAATAGGCCTGGACACTCTTTGGAAAACCTAATCATCATTTTTGGGACTTTAATTAATAATGAATGAGTGAGTATGGTTTAACACCACTTTTAGCAATATTCCAGCAATATAACTGTGGGGGACACCAGAAATGGGCTTCGCACATTGTACCCTTGTGGGGATCAAACCCAGGTTTTCAGCATGATGAGCCAACGCTTTAACCACTAGGCTACCCCACCACGCCTTTCATTAATAAGCACAGAGTAAACAGGTAGCTCTGTGGGAAGACAAGCATTGGTTGTTAGTGATCCCTTGACAAACAAATTACACACACTATTTATCAAAACTGTCCCAAAAACATAACAATTCTACTTTTTTCATTTCTACATTAACCCCTGAAATATCCGACCAAATATCCTTAAAGATATTGAAATGTATTATTCTTTGTTAAAAAGTTGTTATTTGTTCTAGCAACCTCCACACTGTGCGCTTTCATTTTGACATGACCAGTCCCTATTAGTCAAGACAGTATCAAATGTCATGAGGACAACACTGGTATTACCACACAACCTTGTGGAGGAACTGCACCAGACTAAGGGGAATAACTCTAGGACAGCTTACACCACCCTATCTGTAATGGTACTTGTTGCGAGTCAGTAGCACACTGTGTATGTGGTACATACTTTTCATAAGAAAAGTTAAGACACATTTTCGAGGTACTTACTTAGGGAAGTCTGTGCCACCCTATCTAAGACGTACTTACTTGTCGTAGGCTGCAATTAGCCAGTTGAGCAGCAAATTGACGGACTGTTCCACCACTATCTGCTGGTTCTGGGGTAGCCTCTTGTTGAGTTGTGTGAAGACTGTTGTCAACAGCGACTCAAGACGGGATGTACTCAGCTCAAAGTGGGCATCGACCATGTTGAGGCCATTTTCCCGGAATGCTTCGATCATGTTCCAGATGTCTACAAGGTGCACTGGAAAAACAACACTCTCGTCCTCAGCAGCAATAGTTTCCACCACCTTCAACAACATCCCCATCTCTGAGAGACTGAGATGGGTTTTACACCACTTTTTGCAATATTCCATCATTATGACACTTGGCAGGACAAAAAAAAAAAACTCGCTTTGTACACATAAGGGGAATTGAACATGGGACTGGTTGACAAGCAAATGCTTTAACCACTGGGGTAATCCCTCTCATCACTGAATGCTGTACAGTAATGGATAACATGGAATAAACTAGTGAGTGATGGGTTATAAGTTTGTTCTAGCCAAAGGAAAAGTTTGTTGCCAAGGAAAGACTTTATGAATTGTAACCGAACAATCACTCATTTTAAACCAAAACATCCACTCACTCTTAACCAACAGGTGAACTTTCGCACTCCTAACCTACAGGTCCGTCCACTCACTCCCAACCTACAGGTCCACTCACTCACTCCTAAACCACAGGTCCACTCACTCACTCACTCCCAACCCACAGGTCCACTCACACTCACTCCCAACCCACAGGTCCACTCACTCACTCCCAACCCACAGGTCCGTCAACTCACTCCCAACCCACAGGTCCACTCACTCACTCTTCTACCAACATGTCCACTCACTCACTCCCAACCAACAGGTCCACTCACTCACACCCAAGCCACAGGTCCGTCAACTCACTCCTAACCCACAGGTCAACTCACTCACTCCCAACCCACAGGTCCACTCACTCACTCCCAACCCACAGGTCCACTCACTCACTCTTCTACCCACAGGTCCACTCACTCACTCACTCCCAACCCACAGGTCCACTCACTCACTCCCAACCCACACGTCCACTCACTCCTCTTCTACCCACAGGTCCACTCCACTCACCCCCCAACCCACAGGTCCGTCAACTCACTCCCAACCCACAGGTCAACTCAATCACTCCCAACCCACAGGTCCACTCACTCACCCCCAACCCACAGGTCCGTCAACTCACTCCCAACCCACAGGTCCACTCACTCACTCTTCTACCAACAGGTCCACTCACTCACTCCCAACCCACAGGTCCACTCACTCACTCTACTATCAACAGGTCCACTCACTCCCAACCCACAGGTCCACTCACTCACTCACTCCTAACCCACAGGCCCACTCACTCACTCTACTATCAACAGGTCCACTCAATCCCAACCCACAGGTCCACTCACTCACTCTTCCACCCTTTCCATCTGGGACAATGCAGCATGGAGATAAACTTCCAACTCAATTATTTAACCTAATAGCTACTTCTTTTCACTTCATGTATTTTGGGCATTGATTTCCGGATTATTCAACACTGCTGCCATTAAATTGAAAACTACAGAGGGGAAATTACATAGGCATGCCGAGTAATGAGTTAAACAGTTTCCACTCACGGCTTGTCTTCTTCTGTATGAAGCGTAGCTTGCATGCTGTTCTGTAGGTGGCAAACCGGATGACGTCATAGTTTTGAGCCCCTGAAGTTAAAATTTTGAGAGACATGCACTTTATACCCCACAATTCCATGAACATGTCATCAATGCAACATTTCCATCAACATGTCATGAATGTGGAAACTTTTAAAAGATGAATCAAACCCTAACACATACACTGTTGGCACTTGCTATGTTGAATGGGATTACCTTATTTCTTCTACATGTATTTGATGTCGAGGTCCGTGTCAATTTCATGCAAGCCATAGTCCCAATGTCTATTCTTAACATTGACCCAACAACAGCTCACTGCCATACTAATCCCCTGTTCTACAGTCATACAAAGGGTACATTTGCAAGAAACTGTCATTAATATGAAAGGGAGTGATCATTACATGCCATAAGTTTAGTCGACAGGGATAAAATGATAGACTCTGTATCCAGTAAAGGCCAGGCTTCAGTTGTTGATTGTAAGATCCATCAGCAGCAAGAGGCGAGCATGTATTGAAAGCTCAGGGTCTAATAGAGTAATTATGGTACAGTCAGACTGCTTCGCTCAAATTGCATACTGCAAGTCCATACCTTCTGATTATTGCAAGGATCATCTTGCCATCTAGCTCTCTGTCTTGAGAGGTAGTCTACTCCAGACTAACAGTACCCATTATGGGACCTGAGCACCTTTCCACAATCAGAATTTCTTAATCTGGTATCAACCAATATGGTAAGAAGCAAATATGTGAAGCCAGTAATCTCATTATTCTTGGTTGATTTTGGTTGAATTAATTGTGAACAATAGATACAAAATTGTAAAGTAATTTTCTTGAACCTAGATAAGTCATCTACCACTATGTGTCATGCTGAATTTTGGTGCATCATTACAGCAGTTGATTCCATTCTGCTGAAAGTTATTCTTTAGCATCAGTACATCTTGGATTAATTCAGATGACTCAAGGTACAAAGTTTGTGACTCTAGGTTCACCATGTGATTCAATTCAGCTGAATCTTGGTTGGCTGAGTGATTTGATTCAATTGTGCCAGGTTGCCTGTGTGATTTAATTCAGCTGATTCTAGGGTAGCTGTTATAGTGACTAATTCAGGACAGCCATCATCCAAATATTTAAAAACTATGTACTCAAGACATGTGAGACTTTATTGTAATTATTTATATGATGCTAATCTGTATTCTATTTCATCCTTATCACTTGCGCATTGTACATTGACTTGTCAGGCAATTAATTACTGTATATGACATTTATAGCCTAATTGGTCATTCCCCTTGGCCGTGTCTGCCATCGCATCAACTGGTCAAGGAAGTGCTATTGTTTTTTTTATCTGTCCGTTGTTGAGTCGTCGCCTGTCCATTGTTGTCAAAAAACTGTATATATACTGAGTATGCTCACATCTATACTGGAAGGAAGAAAGAGTACGAGTCTGGTATTCCGACTGTCTGTAGGGAATGACGCTCGTAGGAAATGCCCTGGGGTTGAGCAGGTAATCCGCTCACCTTATTTATGTCTTGTATATTTGTTTGTCATGTAACTAAAGAAGTTTGAACTCAACGTATTCCTTCGTCTTGTCAACGTCACTTCATCTTAAACACGAGTTAATTCCCCAGTCGACCATATACCACACGTTGACATAGTCAGCTGATTCTTGGTTGGCTGAGTCATTTAATTCAGCTGAATCTTGGTTGGCTGAGCGATTTAAATCAGTTGACTCTATGTTCACCATGTGATTTAAATCTGTCGACTCAAGGTTGGCCATGTGATTTAAATCAGTCGACTCAAGGTTGGTCATGTGATTTAAATCTGTTGACCCTATGTTGGTCGTGTGATTTAAATCTGTTGACCCTATGTTGGTCGTGTGATCTAAATTTGTCGACTCAAGATTCAGACTCTGTCGAGTAATCATCGGAAGAGTCCAAAGGAACAAAATCACTATCGGAAGAACTATCGTCAGAAAGTAAAATATCACTTTCATCAATGTTACTTTCACCTGGTCTTCCCCTCTTGCTCATTGTGAAGTGCTATATCTCACACATGCAATGTTTTCAATTGGCAGGTACGAAAAAACATTTACTTGGGCCTTCTAGGCCCAGGGTATACCTCAGTGTTATAAAAAATTTTTTGCTAAATAATTTTAAAACTTTTTACGTCAACTGCCAATAGTTTTGAAGAATTAAAGATTTTGACCTTTTAGTGGAATACATGAAGCTAAATTAATGTGCTTGTTATATTAAAGTTTTTGTATATACGTTTGAGGGTTAAATCTGTTGACTCAAGGTTGGCCATGTAATTTAAATCAGTTGACCCTATGTTGGTCGTGTGATTTAAATCTGTCAACTCTAGGTTGGCCATGTGATTTAATTCAGCTGAATGGAGGTAGTCAAGGTGATGGAACTGTGACTTACTCATGTCTGTGAGAAGCTGTCGCTGCTGCAGGACTGCCTTGGTGGAGGAGCTGGGAGCAAGATCCTGCATGTTGTCATCGTCATTGACCACCAGGTAACCTGCAACAGCAACATGGACGTCAGCAAACATCCCAGTTTGGAGCATAGCTGTACTGCTTCACTGACCCACCTATTCCTGGAATAATGTAAAGTCCCCTTAATATTGACCTATCCTGTAAAAGTGTCAGAATGAAATATTTTTGGATTGCCGAAATAGGGTATGTAGATATATGGTTCTAATCATAGCTTAGTATCATCCCCATCCCCCATATAGGAGCTCTAGGCAAACATGGTTTCACAGCTAATATTGGAGTCTTCTGATCCTGGAGTGTGGCATCACAATACCCAGAATGTGAAAAAATGTCACATCTAAAACTTTACGTCAAATCCACAACAGTTATCAAAAGGAAAGTATATCAGCACACAACGTACTCACAGACATCTGATCAGGCTCAAACAACATGCACAAAATCACAATTACAAAAATCACTGTGAGGTAAACCAGAAACACGAGCCACATAAATGACTACCCAATAAAGTAGAGAAATAGTTTCTCCATTAATTATGGTTGCCTAGTGACAAAGACACACCTTATTTCCAATATCCAACATCACCACTGGTCAACAAAGCTTATTTTAGTTTTTCACTTGTTCCAATTATGGTCCTCAGCACACAGAAAATCCTTTAGACGTAACCTTTATATGAATCTCTTCTATGTATCCTTTTTAGTATCCCTTAGATGTACCATACAGATATGTATCCTTTGGATGTAGTTTGAGACTTATTGTTAAGATGTATTTTTGGACATATTAAGATGTATTCTTTGGATGTATTGTTTAGATTTATCCTCTAGATGGATGGTTGAGATATATCGATAACACGCATCTTTAAGATGTCCTGCACAATCACAGATGATGGGCAGTTCCTCGGTTTCCAACTGATCAAAACCAGCAAATCCCTGGAACAGTCTCCCATTTCTATATGACATTAATACATATGGTGATGTCCCACTGTCATAAAATGGACAGTGTCATAAAAGGACAGAGAGTTCGGTAACCCTGATGGCCTCCTCGGGGAGAAATACCAGTGTCAACCTGTCACAGTCGCTAGAAGTAATTTCCCACAAATCTTCAAGCTTTGCCAACACAAAGGCAGTGACCAGTAGATTGCTTCTGCCATGACAAGGTCTCAGCCAAAAGTAATTTCAAAAGAGACTGACCACATTCTATGACTTGGGGACTTCACAAATGGCCTATAATGATAGCTTGGTGATATGAATACTATATAATTACTTTGAAGTGGTGCCAAGGTATAGTCAGCCGTTGAAGCCATGACCTGATAGCCCTGGAACATGAGATGGTGGGACTACCATGTTTGGTGTGACCTGATTCAGGCTTGTCTTACCGTACTTATGCCAGTTTCATTAATGCAGTCAGTAAACTATACAACCAAATGACATGGTGAAACATTATTAGTCTGCAAATTGTAGGTATCAATCTTTTTTAATCAACCATAAAAGGATGAAAGCTATAATGACAGCACAACGTGTCTGAGTGTACACTGTGCCAGTCAGATCACAGCAGAGTGCAACCACCAGGATGCCGCTTCACAAAGCTATCATGAAGTAATAATTTCATACAAAAATTCATTATTATATATTACCACTGCATATTATATATTATGATTCAGATATTAGGAAAATATAAAGTTAGAATGTTTCACAATAGACACGCTTACTCTGGGCTAAATCTTAATGAGCCTCATTCGAAGTGTTCCATTAATGTTATTCTAACAAGTGATGACATGTTTACTTTATAAAAGAAAAATGAAAGTAATTTATTAAACAGTGTAGACATAGCTTTGGTCTTACTGAAGGGAGCGTCTTAGATAGAAGTCCTTATTACCTTAGGCTAGAAAGATCTTTTAAACTACGTAGTCGTAACCTACCAGTATACTTTTTGAATAGTATGTCTGTGAGATGAGTTTTTAATACTTTAAACTGGTGTCTTTCTCTATGCTATTACTGATTATAATTAAACTATTATTCTGTACTTATATTTTCCTAATATCTGAATTGTAATATATTCAGAGCTCCAGACAAGATTTAGCTCATGTGGGTACTGTACCCACTGTATTTTTTTGGAGTGGGTATTATGAATGTTTAGTGGGTATTTCATTTTCCGTTACCCACTGCTTTCAAATATGTGGGTATTTCAGTGATTTTACTCACCTAAGTATATGTCATTGAGTATGTTTACTAAGCAGGTATGTTCTGCCTTATGTCATACCTAATCAAAACCAACTTAATATAATGGAAATGATTTCATAAAAAATCACTCATCCTATACTGACAGTACAACACTAGTCCTAAACTAACAGTACAACTTGATAGCCATCGATGTCTTTTTCATTACGCGAGCGATTTTTATGAATATACTGAAAGTCATTAAAAATGCAATTTGACATTCATACTTTCTTTACTCACACTAATTTCAACATATATAAACCTAACTGGCAGATATGTTTTAAGTGAACATCTGTGAATAATTTCATCTGAAAATGTCCAGTCAACAACAACATCAGTGACGCAACAACGACATCACACAAAGGAGGGGTCACTTGCAGTCAATATCGTGGCCACCGTGCGCTGCAAGACATGCTCGCAGTCTTTGGGGCATTGAAAGACACACATTTCTCAGGAACAGCTGTTGGATGGTCTGCAGCCTCTGATGGTCTGTGGTCTGATCATGACACCACCCCCTCCAAAACGATCATGTTCAAGGACACAGTTTGCCGCAAGTCTTTCTCCTTTACGTCGATAAATCTGTTGACGTCCATCTGCAAAGGATAAGTTAAACCTGGATTCATCTGAAAAAATGACCTCTGGCCATGTCCTGTTGCTAAGATTGGCCCCATTTGCTGCCCATCGCTGTCTGGCAAGTTTGTGGGTACGGGTGACGACACCGGATGTTGAAGGCAGCAAGGCATCCTTACACCTTTTGGACGCTGAAATGACGTTGACTTGTCCCAATTGTCCTCCTTGCCTTATCATCAGCTGTTTGGAACCGATTTCGCAAGTGTGAAACTCGGATATTGCGGTTTGGTCGAGCCGTTATCACAGGTGGTGCACCAGGTCGCGGACGATCAGCAACACTTCTGGTAGCCCGAAAACGTTGTCTGAGTCGACTTACAGTGGATGGATGCACATTAAAGTGCCTGGCAATCATCACATCTGAAGCACCTTGGCTGACCATACCGATAACCTGATTCCTTTCGTCTTGTGTCAAGTGTGGCATTTTCTCAAAGTGATTTAGTTCCACAATTCCTTGTGCTTTTACAGGGCCTGGGTGCAGGTAATGCATGTGCACAATGTGTTTCATGAATGTGGTTGTGTTTACGAGAAATGTCAAAGGTTCAGTTTTCAGTATCAAAGTTCACGTGAGAGGAATGCTCCGGGACTCGAACTCGAAATGGGCAAGCATAACAGCCTTTTATCCCTACATCCTCTGTATCGCAGGAAAAAATCTTCAATAGAATTCTTGTAAGTTTCAGGACAACAAATACCAATTGCGTTTTTAATGGCTTACAGTATATATTCCGTATGCATTTGTTATAAACTTTTGGCGTATCTAACATTTTAAATGTGTAATTGGTACGCAACAATTATTTTTCAATGCGTAGTTGGAAATTTTCTATGCATATTTTACCCGGATACGCAGCTGATCTGGGCCTCTGATATTGCTTGCAGTGGTAATAATTACTAATGAATTTTTGTATGAATTATTACTTCATGATAAAGCTATCGTAGCGCTATGACGGTCATAAGTCAATGTTACAGTATAGGAATTCCGACAGTCGTAGTGCTACAATAGCCTTGTGAAACGGGGCCCAGTGTACCATCCATACAGTACAGCCATATTACCCATCCAATCAACACTTCAGTTTCCTCTTGCATTCTGGTAAACAACATATACGACTCACAATAGGTTAAAGAAAACCAGGGTTTGTCATATAAACACTCTTAACCTGTCACGCCAGGACAGATGTACCATAGTAATAAGAAAGAAAGGGGTATTCCCACTTCTTATTTGAGCAGTATTAGGATTACATATACAAAAGATAGCATAGAATTTAATGCCATTTCTATCCACATCAGCTTTCCATCATGACTGAGATAATGAATATACTTCATCACAAGTCCCCTGCCGGCGATGTACCATTACATTAAAGGAAATCCAGTCCATTTAATGAAGCATCAAGGCCATCTTGATTATTTAATCATAAGGAATGGATGAGGACAAGACAATATTTCATCTGAACTATCATGATTGTCCTTCACACAGTGTGGCGCCTCCCAGTACCGTATCATTGGATCCCCTACTTCCGAAAGACATTAAACGCCAACATAGGAGACTTTTGGCACATGGTGAAGTATAAGAGAAACTAAATACCAGTGTCAAAGAGTTTATGTACACTGTAAGAAAAACAGATAAATTATCATGGTCCTGGTCACCATAGTGACCAACACATGTTTTGACAACACGTTCCTAGAAAATATATGAAAGACATATATATCTAAGCCAAGCAGAATCTAGCATGCCTTTGCCATTCTAAAACAAGGTCATAAGAACTATAGTCCGTTTGGCTCAAAAGCGAACCGATGAATTGCAATCTAACTCGAAAACTAATAAACATAACATACTCAATGAAACGCTGATCATAATTAAAACATCATACCCACTCTGTGAGGTTTTTGCAGAATTTTTGTCCTAAAAATAATAAAGTTGTTTAACAAACTATCATTAAAATATTGACACAGTTCACTGTTTGTTACGAGCACCTGGCTGTCCCTTTCTCTGCACTCCTCCCTCGTAACAAACAGTGAACTGTGTCAATATTTTAATGATAGTATGTTAAACAACTTTATTATTTTTAGGACAAAAATTCTGCAAAAACCTCACAGAGTGGGTATGATGTTTTAATTATGATCAGCATTTCATTGAGTATTTTATGTTTATTAGTTTTCGAGTTAGATTGCAATTCATCGGTCTGCTTTTGAG